TCTGAACCCCAGTCCTCTACAAGAGCAACCACCAGTGTTAACTACAGCGCACAGTCCGTGCATTTTCAATTTAATCCCTTCTAATCTTCTTCCACCTTCATATAAATCAAATATTAAGGCAAAGCATCTGCTTAAAAGTTGTGGCTCTGAAATTACTGTCTTGTTCTAACCTCCTAACCCAGGCTTTACCAACCTTGCAGCCTTGACCTTAACCTTGCAAAGTCTAGGATCCTTCTGTTTTCTACAAGGAGAGATAAACCTCAGTACCTACACTACAGAGAGTTTGGTAAAGAAATGGAAGGATATACATGCATGTTGACAAGTGCAGTGTGCTAGGTACTGGGGCCAGACTTGTTCCACTCTCTCCCTGTCTAAAGGTTAAGTCTAGTGAGAGAAACCACCAAGTATCATCATAAGATTAAGCACTGAGATTATACCACAGACAGGCCAGCATGAGAACCTAGAGAAAGCTTCTAGTCAGGATGGCAGGGCCAGATTTCCAAGACACGGACACCTAAGCTGTCAGGTGATAGAAGAAAAGAACCAGAAGTTCTCAGAGCAGAACAGAAGAGAACCGCAATCAAGCTGAAGCAGGAGTGGGGGTCAAAGACCAGAACTTGGACCAGGTTTCTAAGGGAAAAATTAAACTATCAAACTGTCAAATATGAATGGTATATTACATTCTATGTTAGTTTTTCCAGTATCTCACTGTTAAGTGTTTAAAAGTTATGACATTCCCATGGAATCTACATATTTTGAGGTCCTACATAAAATAAAAGGTATCAAATAAAAACCACTTCAGGTACGGTACTTGCTACCAAGCCTGACAACCTGAGTTCGACCCTCAGGACCCAGAGGGGAAAGAGAGAATGGACTAATGCAGGCTGTCCTCTGGCCTCCACATGTGCCATGATGCATGCACACAAGTAAATAAACATAAATGTTTAAAAAGCTTAAAAAGCGTTTAAAGAAACTACCTCAGGGCAGGGTATGGTATCACATTCCTGCAATCCCAGCACTAAAGAGGATGAGGCAGGAAGATCTCTAGTTAGAGACCAGCCTGGGCTACCTAATAAGTGGTGTCAAAAAACCAAACACTTTAAAGAAGGGGGTGGGGAGGGGCTGGAGAGATGGCTCAAGATAGCACTGGCTGCTATTTCAGAGGACCCAGGGTTTGGTTCCCAGCAGCCACACAGTGGCTAACAACTGTCCATAACTCCAGTTTGTGGGCATTGCACAACACTAGTGCACTTACATACATGCAAGTAATATACACATAAATTAAATAATTAAAAAAACAAAACAAAACAAACAAAAAAACAGAAGAACAAGAATAAATCTCGGGCTGGAGAAGTTCAATGGCAGACGCTGCCTGGATCCTAGAGGCTGTGCTAGATGATAAACATCATACGGAAAAAAAGCAATTCATTTTACAAATGAGGAAATACAGGCCCAGCAAAGTGAAGCTCAAACTACAGATTCCACATCTTTTTCACCCAAGCAGGATGTCCTATAGCTAAGTAAAAATAAATGAAAGGAACCCCCCTACACAGCTTTAGAAACTAGAAAATACCTGTGTGAATAAAAAAAATGGTCATGAAGTGTTATCATTGTATTTATAGTCTGCACGAGTAAATGCACATTTTATAAATGTACAATCTTTAGTAAGGGAGTAAAATTGGGTTTTATACAAAATTGATTTTTTTTAATGTTCACTTCTTAGTTCTGAACCAAGAAGGGAAAAAATACACATCTTACTGATAAAGCTACCAGTTAATTTTCAAAAACATGAATGTAGAACCGCCCCTTAAAGTAAATGGTTAACAGCTTTTTCTCCAAGCATACCTAAAAGAAAATGAAGCCACTGATCCTCAGAGGCATGTTATCCCATGATTCAGTTGTTAAGGGTACAAAGGCTATGCTTTAGCACTTACTTATGGAAGGCTCAAACTGCAAAGAATTGTTCATAACTTTGGGGGGGGCAACTTTTAAAATTTGAATGGCAAGTAAATATTGCTCAATTTAAAGTCCATTCATTTTCATTTTTCATGCTGAAATAAAGGCATATCATCTCTGTTCCTGGGTACACTGGGAATGGAAAGACCTCTCTTGGTTCATAGCTGGGCTGGGCTATTTTCTCAACAGGGAAAAGTCTTAAATACTAACCTGCTTCAGTTCAAAGGCAAGGGGAAAAACCATCTTGTTTCAAAATAAACACACACAAAGCTAAATAATGACACCTTAAGATTACATTTATTAAAGCTTTACCGTTTTTTGTTTCTCTGGTGGGGACAGCACTTTCTTAGATTTCCACAGCTAAAGAAACCCTGAGCACTCTTTGACTAGGACACTGTAACTAGATATGGGGGGGGGGGTCACAAGAAAAATGACAAATTTTACTTTTGAGAAGCATGTAACATAAAAAAGTGCACTCTTAGCTACCTCAACAGCAGCAGTGACTGTCTTCTGCAGCCAAAATAAGGACAAGTGCAGAAACCAGGAGCTTAAATTAGAATTAGTCCCAAAAATTCACTTCAAAAGAGGTACCACCAAGACTATGTTCTATGTTACTTGAGGGTACATAAATAAAGGACTATTTCCTGTCCTCCATGACTTCATAGTCAAAAAGTATGGGAATAGGGCTGCACGGACAACAGCAAAAAGGCAGAGCTCAGGAGCAGAGAGCAGTCTGTAGCAGATGAGAACATCTGGAATGATCAGCTCAGACTTCAGGGGTGACACATTAGGAATTTGGAGCACACATGCCAGGGCCTGACCATAGGCTCACGGAGAGCTTATAAACTGGTAAAACATATCTACAGTTGGTTTTTTTCCCCTTTGGCAAAATAATTGTTGAAAGATGAAGGGGGGGTAGCATTTTTAGAAAGCAATTCAGCCATTCCTCCCAAGCTTAGTAAGTACTCTCTTGAAACCTCCAAAAATGGGCATAATAGAAGTTAAAGCAAGTCAGTCTTACTCAGAAGTTGAAATGAGATAGAACTATTCCGGATCACCACGTGAAGCAACAAAGAGAAGTTTTAAGTAAAAAGGAAAAAAAATCTAGTATCTCAAATCCTTTTCAGACAAAGGAAAAAAAAACGCTGATTATCCTTATTTTCTTAAAATGAGTAGTTTTACTTTTTTATTTAAACATCACCTCCTATTTTGCTATATAAAAATACATACATTCCCTCCAGGACTTCAGAAAAACCTTGTCCGTTTTCTGGCTTACATTAAAATGAAACGCTAGGCTTAAAACTGCACGTTTTTCTTCAGGGCATTCAGTTTAGGTCCTAGAAGCTTAAAGTAAAAAGGAACTTAGTTCCTCTTCTGTCACCCCAGTAAGTGCATTTCTAAAACAATAGGATCATTTATCCCACTCTTGGCTTTTGCCCGTTTTAAATACACAGAGTAACTAAATAGTGGAACAACTCGATTGCATTTCAGTATATGCGCCCTTACCACTAATCACTACAAATACTAACTCTAAGCAACAATAGTGACCCAGTAGGAAAAGGGACTCCCGGAGAGGGAGAGGGAGAGAGGGGGAGAGAAGGAGAGAGGGAGAGAGAGGGAGAGGGAGAGAGAGAGAGACCTTAACTTTGGAGATTAAGATCAAGGCATGTGTATAAGCATTCCTGTATTTCTTTATTATGTGCACAATACATCACATTACGCAGGTGACAGGAAGAGGGGGCCTATGGGAACCACATGGGCTTTAGGAGTAGATGCGCGCGAACCCTGGTCAGGGGACCCCTAAACTCCCTGGGCCTGGCAGCGCGCGCGGTTACCTTCGGGGGTCAGGGTGCGCGCTCCCGCTGCAGCCGGGAACGCGCCGAGGCCGCCGCGCAGGGCCCAGCCCAACTCCCGAGCACCCGCGAACACCGAGGGGGCTCCGCGCGTTTGGAAGCGCACACCGGTATCCCTCAGGGCCTGCCCGGCCGGCTCCCAAAAGAACGGAGCGAAAGGGCCCACTATTACCCAATAATAATGCTCCGCACCGTCGCAACAATGAGAGCGGGGGACCCGAGCGCTGCGGGCCAAGGAAACGGAAACCCGGAGCGCCCCGGCTCCTCCAGCGCTCGAGCCCGCGGCTCCCCCAAGAGCACGCGTCCCTGTGCAAAGCGCCGCCCGGAGACGAGGGAGAAGCGGGGGTCGCGCACGAGGCCAGCCGCGGACGCCGGCCGGGCCTCCGAGGGCCGAGCCCGCTCGCCACTGGGAAAGGCCAGCGCCAGCAGGCGCGATGAATAGGGCTTTTTCTCAGTGCGTAGCCGGGCCTGGCCGCCGCGGCCCCGCCATGCCCCAGACCGCCGGGTGACTCAGGCCGCGTCCCGCTGGCTCCGCTCCGTCCTCGGCGTCCTCCGCCCACGAGTTCCCCCGACCCGGCCGCCATTCCGCCCGGCGCCACAGGCCTCGCCCGCTGCCGGCACTCGGCCGCCGCGGCCCCAGTCACTGCGACACCACGGCTCGGGCCGGGGCCTGCTCCGCCACCTCCCTCGGCCGCCGCCACTCACCCGCATCTCCCTGGCTCCCCACAGGCTTAGGCGGGGGTGTCCGCCTGCTTGCTGGGCCCGAGCCCCGTGAAAGCCCGTCCCGCCAAGGTCTGGTTGCGTCCCTCAGCCGCCCCGGCTGCCCCGCCTGGAGGTGCGTGCGACACGGCGCCCGCCTCCTCCTCCTCCTCCTCCTCCCCTACCCGCCCGCGGCCCTCCTCCCGCCGCCGCCGCCGCCGCCTGCACCACGCAACCTCCGCCCTCTCGCCGTCCCTCCGCCGCTCCCCGCCCTCCCGGCCTCACCGGCTCCGGCGATCGCCGGGAGAAGCGGTGGGGGGAGGGCCGGAATGCGCCGCCATCGGCCTCCGGGGCGGGAGAGCCGGGAAACCGCCGCCACTAGAGCGGCGGCGCAGAGGGGAGTGGGGGTGGACCGAAACCGCCCTCCCGCCAGCCGGCTGGAGCCCCGGGCCGCCAGTCCGCGGCAGACTCCGCTCGCGCAGTGGTTTCTACCTCCTAGCCGTGGCTCCGCGCCGCTCCCCGAACGCTGAGTCGGGCCGCCCGGCGTGCTGGACCCTTCGCCTGGTTTCACCGCCTCCCTCGCCCGAGGCGGCCTCGGGAGTCCCGGCTTCCCGCCACTTCGGACCGTAGGTGGGGGCTCGGGCCTGTGGAGAAACTTCCGGAAGCAGCCGGGGGAGGGGGGCCGGGGCTGACCGGGGACCCAGGTGCTCCCAGCCCTGTGTCTGCTGGACCCCGCGACCGCCTGAGAGTCACCCCCAAATCAGCGCAGACTCCAGCCGACTCCCGACCCTCTCCCACCCTAGAACTTATGCCCACAAGTGCGTGTCTCCCAAAGGGCACTTTCTCAAAACTGAACTAGGCTCCCCTGCCGTCCCCCAGATCCTGCAACCAATTCTCTTTTGGCAACTTTTGACAGAAATTCACTTTTAGTCTCCGTAAGGTTTGATTGAATTGGAGTTTGTGATTCCACCCAGGGATGTCATGAAATATCGTTTTGGTATTTGGTCAAACCTAATTACACTCATTTACGGGAAAAAATCAGCTGCCCTGGTTGGGTGTTGGTAATATTCAAATCAGATGTAAATATTGGCAGTGTAGCTAGCCACGGGTTAGAGGCTGGGGAAAGAGTGGACTTAGAGGCTTTAACTCCCTGGCTCGTATCTGCCATGTAAATCCGAAAAGGAGCGAGGCAGGATTTTTTTTAAATTAGTTCATCATGGGGCAAAAGATGTGATGGATGTAACTTCCTGTTTTCCTCATACTAAACACTCCAGAGAGCCTAATATACAACTTTGGAGCAGAAATCCTCACCAGAGCTGACAGTCCCAAGTCCAACAGTTTCAGTCACCTGTGTTTCAAAAGGGACAGCCCACTGGCATATGGGCCCTTCTGAACTGTGACCTTTTGTCAACTTTTATTGAATATCTTTAGAAGTGTTTGTGTATATATATCCCAAATTGTGTAATCCTTTGTTTTGTGCAGAAATTTTAAATTCCTAGGTTTGTATCTAATACTTCTCAATAACCCAATCAAAAGAAACAGTTGTGTTTAGTAACTTTTTGTAGATGTGTGGTAAGAGTGGAGGTAAAAATGGAAGAATTGCCCCTGTGGATCATTCCTGTTCCTGTACCTATGTGCCTTTATTTTAAATATCCCAATTCTTCCCCCTTACTGAATTCTTGTGTGTGCCTCAGATGACAACTTACCTCACCTCCTGCTTTCTTTGCCTGCCTTCTTCAATCTCATCATTATATGTGGTCTTTTCTGTGATTTCCCACAGCTGAACATGGGTTGTGTGCATCAAGTTGGAGCATTTCGCCAACCACTTCATCCTTAAATGCAAGTCCTTGATCCACCTGAACCCACTCTCCATGTCACACTGCCTCCACTCCTGGTTTTGAAGTTGCTCTTACCTTTCCACTGTCAGCACTGCCATCCTCAGTGGCTGAACTTGTACATGTCCAGTTTGCAACTAGACTGCACTTTCTCTGCGCAGATAACCCTGCCTTCTACCCAAAAAGACAAAGAGATACACTAGTGTCTTTCCACTTCAAAACAGCCTTCATTTTCTCCTCCATCTTAGCAAATCTAATGTCTTTCTCTGATGAGATGATCAGGTTTGGGAAGGTACTTCATAAACACCAGAAACAAAGTTCAGAACAGTCTCAGGCCAAAATCAGTTGGGATTAAAATAGTTTCACAGGTCAGAAACAGGAATGTAGTTGGAAAAGCTCAAGTTTTAGATTTAGACAGACCTTGGTTTATACCTGAAATCTTTTGCTCTAGTTAATTCAACTGTTAATTGGAGATAAAAATACCTTTCTCATGAAATACAAAGTAATTCCTTTATTATTCCCATTTAATTGCTGGATTACTCACTGTACCCTTTCCTCATCCTCCCCAGACTAGAGGCCCAGAGCTGTACTTTCTAATTTATACAAGCCTGAGAAATTCAAAACACCCATTCACCTGGCATGGCAGAGCTGTCTCCACCTCTAGAGAAATCCTGTATTTTGACTCAGTCTTTGGGTGAAGGCATGTCAGTCCTCACACTTCAAATCAAAAAAACCTAAGGCTTGGAAATGGGGCATTTGCTACAGATCGGTGAGTTTGGTCAATGGCAACCCAATCCAAGCGTATCCACTATGTTACCAAGGCACTTTCCTGTAGTGTATTGTTCCTTTAATCTTCTAAATGGCTTTCCTATTTCTCTCCCTTCCATATCCCACCTGTAAAGTGACTAACTACAGGTTGCTCCTTTAATTTGGTACCTTCGTGGTTATTTCTTTTTAAAATATTTTTATGAGTGTTATTCTTGCATGTGTATAAGTGCACCTGTACTGTGCAGTGCCCGCTGAGTACAAAAGAGGGCTTCAGATGCCCTGGGATTGGAGTTACAGATGGCTATTAGCCACCACGTGGGTGCTGGGATTCAAACCCGGGTCTTCTGAAAGAGCAGCCAGTGCTCTTAACCACTGAGCTATCTCTCCAACCCCTCATTGTTATTTCTTCATCCTTTAAAAACTCAGTGCTGGGCTGGAGAGATGGCTCAGCGGTTAAGAACACTGGTTGTTCTTGCAGAAGACCTGGGTTCGAATCCCAGCACCCACACAGCAGCTAACAACTGTCTGTAACTCCAGTCCCAGGGGATCCAACAGTCTCTTCTGACCTCCGTGGGCATTGCATGACTCCAGTGCACTTTCCTACATGCAAGCAATATACACATACACATAAAATTTAAAAAACCCTCAGTGCTTCCCTATTATTTATAGGGTTCAGTCTACACTGTGACCTGCACTTGAGATGAACCATTCCTTCTTCTGACTTTTCCAAATTTATCTTCAGTCACTTCCTAGGAGGCGTTCTCAACTCAGCCCAATCCTATTGGGCCTTCTCATGGTGTAAGTTTCAGCTTTGGGTCACCCCTTTTGGAAGCCTGCTTCCATTTGTTCCCTTAATAGACTCCCTCTCCTCCTCCTCTAAATCACAGGTGGGCTTCGAAGCCCACCTTATACCTCCTATACAAGCTTTTGTGATTTCATATTGCCAGGTTCTGACAGGTGATCTGTACCTTGGGGACAAGGATTATTTCCTAAAACTCACTAGCTCTTCAGCATTGTGCTAGAACACCGAGGCCTGTCAAACACATATTTGTTTACTACTCAGATGAAAGGGCACTGAGTCACTGGAGCAGCCATAGCATCCATTATTTCAAAGACTTGGGAAAGGAACTAGCCATCTGGTACAAAGTAAATGGATTTCAAACCTCACTTTGCTTCAGAGTTACCTGGGGACATAAGTACTAACTTCAGCAGCCCCTTCCAGAACTATTGAATCAGAATTGGGAGAAAGGGAGTAAGGTGAGAAGTTGAAACTAACAGAGTTTCTCTCTTGGCTTCTTAACCATTATTAGTTTCATAGATTTAAGCAAGTCATTCACTTTCTCAGAGCTTCATCTTCATCTATGATATGGAGATGATGATAATACTAACTTATATGGGGTTATTATAACTTAAACATTTATAGATATTAACAATGGTGATGATAATTCTTTAAAGACCAAGGGTCTAAGTTGGGAACCAGTGACTTAATGATCCATTCCTTCTGCTCAAGTTTCAAATCTTAGGACCTTAAAACTTCCACTATTAAGCATTATAACATGTTGTAATAAGCCTCATTTGTTTTGAGGCAGTGTAATTGTTTTAAGAAAGAAGACTCAAGTGAATCAGATTTTTTTTAAGGCTTCATTTTTAATTACATTTAACTTTTAAAAGATTGATATTTGACCTCCCTCTGCTTCCCTGGGCCTGCACAACCCACAGGCCTCTCTCTGGGGTAAGTCAATTAACACACGCCATGCCTGGACTCCCCCAGCTTCATTCACCCTCCCATCTCCCATGGCTGTCTCTCCTCCTAGCCTGGGACCTGTCCCATTTCTTGTCTTGGCCCCCCAGACACCTGGGGAACCACCAATGCTTCCTGACCCTTTGTGTCCAGGCCAACCCAGTTCTTTCTGGGGTCCCCAGAAGCCCTCTGGGCCTGGTCCCACCCTCACCTCCCTCTGCTTCCCTGGGATGCACAACCCGCCAGCCTCTTTCCTGGATGCTGGGACTGACTTTCCTCTTCCTGATCCTTTGCATCCAGACCAACCCAGTTCCTCAGTGCAGTCCCCAGGAGCCCTTGGGGCCTCTTCCCACCCCCATCTCCTTGTGCATCTCTGGGTGGTATGGCTACCAGCTGGCCAAAACCAGCATCTTTCCTTGGCCATGCTCCCAGACCAGTCCAACCCCCAAATTCCAGAGGCCAAAATCTTTCCTGGAGGGATCCAGACCGTAGGAGAAAGCCTGAGAGCATCTGATCCTCATCTGACTTGGGCCTCTGTGGGAACTCCTGAAGACAAAAGCAATCTGGCCACTCTGATATAAAACCAAAAGAGAGGACCGGAAGCTTACAGGAACCAGCTTTACATGCCCAAAAAGTAAAAAACAAACACAAAGTTTACAAGAAGAAGCAGACCTAAACTTGAAGGCTTGAGTCTCAACACAAGAATCAGAAACTACAAAAGAAATTCACATGTCAAAATCACAGAGAAAAAATAATAACATAAAAACCCAAAATAACATATCCCCACCAAACACCAGTAGTTCCCTAGAGGAGTACAATGAGAAACCCCGAGAGATAATGCAGGACATGGAAATCAAAAGAACAATTATTAACATGATGAAAGAATTCAGTGAATTTAAAGAACACACAAACAAATCAAAGAACTGAAGGAAGATAGGGATAAACTTCTGAATGAATTCAGAAAAGAGGTAGAAACATTGAAGACTACTCAGGCTGAAATGAAGAAGGAAGTGAAACACTCAGTAAACCAATTAGAAATGACAGGAGAAAGCCTCACCTATAGAATGAATGAAATGGAAAACAGAGTGTAAAGACTGGAAGATAAAGTGGACAAACCACTCAAGCAAAGATTACAAAAATTTAAGAAATCGTAAGAATGGAATATGAAGGAATTGTGTGTCACCATAAAAAGACCAAACTTATGAATCATAGACATACAGGAAGGAGAAGAATCCCAAGATAATGGTATGGACCAGCTCTTCAACAGAATCGTGGAAGAAAATTTCCCAAAATTAAAGACATGCCCATACAAATACAAGAAGCATATAGAACACCAAACAGACAGGACCAGAAAAGAAACTCTCCACGGCACATCATAGTAAAAACACTACATGTACAAAACAGAGACAATACTGAAAGCTGGAAAAGAGAAGCAAGTCACATATAAAGGAAAACCCATTAGGATCATAGCTGACTTTTCAGTGGAAACTATGAAAGCCAGAAGAGCCTGGATCAAAGTATTCCCAGTTTTAAATGACCACAGATGCCAACCCAGATTACTATACCCAGCCAAAATGTCTATTATAGTTGAAGGCTAAAGAAAAATCTTCCATGATATAAACAGGCTGAAGGACTTCATGTCCACAAAACCAGCCCTTCAGAGAGTTCTGGAAGCAATACAAAGAGCTGAAGGGACAACTATACCCAAGGGGTTGCGGAAAGAAATTCAATGGAGGTATAGCTGTGGGAAAGTCAGCTATATCAAGAACGTAAACAAATAAAAATGACAGGATTCAATACTCATCTTTCATTAGTAACTTCAAATATTAACGGACTGAACTCTCCAGTCAACAGACAGAGACTAGGTGAATGGATTAAGGAACAAAATCCATCTTTTTGTTGTCTGCAAGAAACTCATCTCACTTTCAAGGACAGACATTCTCTTAAAGTGAAAGGATGGAAAAAAATATACCAAGGAAATGGTAGTAAGAAAAAAGCAGGCTTTGCAATTCTAATATCTGACAAAATAGACTTTAATCAGAAGAGATAAAGAAGGCCACTTCATTCTGATCAAAGGAACAATAAATCAAGAAAATATTACAATAATGAATATATATTCACCAAACTCTGGAGCACCCAACTTCATAAAAACTATTACAGGACTTTAAGACCAGATCAATCCCAACTCATTAATAGTAGTGGACTTCAATACCCCAATGTCTCTGTTAGATAGGTCAACAGGGCAGAGAGTTAACAGAGAGACATCTGAATTAAACAATACCATTTATCAAAAGGGCTTAACAGACATCTACTGAGTATTCCACCCAAGCACCAAAGGACATACTTTACACTCAGCACCCCAGATTTTGGAATCTTCTCCAAAATCTATGATATACTGGGGCACAAAACAAACCTCAACAAATACAAAAAGATTGAAATAATTCCATGTAGTCTATCAGACCACAATGCAATAAAGCTTACAATCAACACCAGAAGAAGCCCTAATCACCACATGAACACATGGAGATTAAACAACACACTCCTGAATGATGAATGGGTCAAAAGAGAAATTAAGAAAGAAATAAAAGTATTCCTGAAACTAAATGAAAAGGACAATACAACACAACAAAACCTCTGGGACATGCTGAAAGCTGTCCTTAGAGGGAAGTTTATACCTCTAAGTGCTTACATCAGAAAATCTACAAAGAATCAACAATTCCAAGAGCTGGTTCTTTGAAAAGATAAACAAGATTGACAGACCGCTAGCCCAACTAACCAAAAGAAAGAAAGAGCACCTCCAAATCAACAAAATCAGAGATGAAAGGGGAAATATCACAACAGATACCAAAGAGATCCAGAACATTATAAGGGAATACTTTAAAAACCTATATGCTACTAAATTTGAAAACCTAAGAGAAATAGATGCATATCTAAAGGCATGGGAACCACCAAAACTAAACCAAGAAGAGATTAACAGCTTAAACAGACCCATATCACAAAAAGAAATTGAAACAGTAATATAAAACCTCTCAACTAAAAAAAGCCCAGGACCAGATGGACTTACAGTAGAATTCTACGAGACATTTAAAGATCTACATCCAATACTACTTAATTTATTCAAAAAGATAGAAATGGAGGGAGAACTTCCATATGCCTTATATGAAGCCAGCATCACTCTAACACCAAAGCCAGGTAAAGATACAACCAAAAAAGAAAACTATACACCCATATCCTTTATGAACATAAATGCAAAAATTCTCAACAAGATACTTGCAAACTGCATACAGACACACATCAAAAAGATCATCCACCATGATCAAGTCAATATCCCAGAGATAGTTCACTATATGGAAATCGATAAATGTCATAAATCACATAAATGGACTCAAGGACAGAAATGCTTTTGACAAAATCCAATCTGCATTCATGTTAAAAGTTCTAGAAAGCACTTGGGAGGCAGAGGCAGGCAGATCTCTCTGAGTTCAAGGCCAGCCTGGTCTACATAGTGA